CTTTACTGACCTCTACATCCGCAATTAAGAACTGACTTTTCTTTTTCTTCATTTCGGCCCAAGCGCGGCGACGAGTGATCAATTCATCACCTATGCTTGCGAGGGAACCACCTAGAGAAGTCCTGACACAAGCAACCTCTGAGCAGGTAACTAGGTGGGGGCCTTCTAGCGTCTTAGTCTTTGCCATTGGGATTGGATGGGAGGATGAGAGTCTGCTTGCATCCAGAGTCCCCGTAGAGGCAGCTGCTACCTCTACTGGCTGTTCCCTTTTGGGTACCGGTATTCGGGACAAAAGGGAACAGTGTGGTCGGGGTCACCACATTTGAAACATTGGCCGGCTGCTTTACGTTCATCCCAAGTCTTCTCATCAATCCCCATTTGTTCCCAAGGTTTGCCTATAGCGATCCCGGGATGGGGCGGATATGGTCGCCAGTTATTGTATTCTCTTCCTCTACTCCCAGTGGAGTTAGAGCCTCTTCCCCTTTGCGAGGGACCATTACCCCTACCTCCCACATAGTAGCTACCTTCGCCACTACCCCTCTAGGCGGCGGGTCCTCTTCCTCCATCACGGCCACAACCTCCACTTCCTCTTCCACGACCTCTTCCTCCTTGTCGCTCTCCCCCGCGGCCTGCAACAACCGCATAGTCCCCCCCCCTAAGTGACTATTGTTGTCTCCTTCTAAACCATAATCTATCTAGTCGTAGGTGAGTGATTTTAATCCTCCTCCTTCGAAAGTGACCAGAAGATTGTCTTTCCCGGCTATGTTCCCTGAGATCGTGCGATCTCTCAATTTCTTCCCTGCTTGGAGATCTTTCCAATAATGGCAGTACTGTGCTTCTTGCAGAAAGCTAGCATGATCAACCACGATCTTGCTGAACTTTCGTAAGTCATTCCTTCTTCTTTACTCCGGGGATAAAGTTGGGCTCTCAACAGATCTGGTACTGCTCTGGCAATTTGTTATTCTGTGTGGGTGTCAGTCCATGGTCTGGACACTGCAAGAGTTCATTAATAGTGGCTTTGAGCGTTGAAGAACTCTTCCACTTACGATCACCAATGTTGAGGATCAAAGACTCAGTCCTGCCGACCTGATAAATCAAAGACTCAGTCCTGCCGACCTGATTCTTATCTTCAAATCTTTCTCTAAAGGCTCTAAAGAAGTCCTCGATCCGTGTCTATTGTGAATATAGGACCATCTGGAGATGGCGAAACTCATCGCATCACCCGCTAAGCATGAACTAGCCATTAGCACGCGGTCCCAATACGTGATCTTCTGCGCGTACAAATAGGTATCCATTACAGCTTCCCAGTGGAGTACACTCTCTTCTTTCTTCCCCGTACAAGTCCAAGGCAACTTCACCGTCATCTTTTGCCTGAATTCCTCCGCTTCACTGTCCTTCTCCTTCTTGGGACCCTTTCCTTTTTTGTCCCATCATCACCATCATCACCTCCATCTCCTCCCCCGCCTCCTATATTTAGCTTCCTTACTACGGCAGGGTCAGTTAACCTTTTGCAGAGGGCTTTATCTAATTGGTCAACATACTCAAATATGCGATGATCAATTTGTTACGAGGCACTGCGCAGGAAGTTATTCCAAACGCCTTCGAATTCCCCTTGGTGTAACTCTATTCGATTAACAATTCGGTGGAGTGCAGCAAGTTCATTGTTTGTATGGAGGAGAGTATCTGTTAGGAGGGAGAGTCGTTCATCTATGGCATCCTGCTTTCCTTTTTGTTCCCGCAGCAGCTTCTGCAACCTCTCCCCCTCTTTTTTCAATCTTTTCTTTTCATTATACTCCTACCTTTTTGCCGCCACCATCGTATTATTTAGTTCTGCTTTCTTCTCCTCCAGCAGTAAATTCTTCTCTGCCTTGTAAGCTGTTGAGGCCAGCCTTATGATAAAGGCATTTTTCTCCTCCTCCGTCTCTTCTGGGAACTCCGTCCGGTAACCGAACTGCTCCATCCAATTCATCGCCTCCAGCTGTCGCATACGGATCACCCCCTGCTTGCCTGCTCTCAGCATTTTCTTCTTGAGGCTGGGTTCTCCTTCTGTCCAGCCTTTCTCCCACATCTTCTTCTTCTTCTTCTTCTTCTTCTTCTTCTTCTTTCAATTCTTCCATCAACTTCCTCTCCTTCTCCTTCATCTCCTTCTCCATCTTCTCTTTTTCTTCTAGCAACTTCTTCACTTCCTCCTCCTCCTTCCTTTTCTTTTCCTCCTCTTTCTTCTTTTCTGCCAGGCGGCGGTCTACCTCTGCCTGTTCTTCAGCTGTCTGTGACTGTGTTGACTGTCCAGACCTTAACACTGCATGTGAGAAGAGGGTTCGCTGGAACTCTAGAGGGAAGATAAAACGAAGAAGAGGTCCCCATAGCACAGACAGGGACAGAAGTGCGAACATGGGATAGTCATCCATGGTGATCAAAGGCATAGCCAAATACCCTCCACCTCCTCACCACTTAGACCAACCCCTACCACTAATTACTAACTCCCGAGTGGGTCTGACTGTTGCTGATTGCCGAGTACCTTCCCAAAGCTATATATGTATATACTTTTTTTTTTTTTTAACGAGCGGACTGGTTGCTAGACTCAAGGCAGACAAATTGGACCAGCCCAGCAGCAGCGACACCAGGGTGAGGGAGGTACCAAACACCAAGACAACTCAGCAAGCAATACAGGTCTTATGGGGGGATGCACTTCACTTCAGTGAACGTTCCGTTGATGAAGATTCACAGCCGCTCCAATGCTCTGAATACACCCACTGCTAACTCTGCTAACCCCCTTGAGTTCTACTACTAACTACTAGCACTGGCAAAGCTATGGCTGCCTTCCCTCTGCCAGCACTGGGCAGCTATGGCTGCTTCCTCTGTCTCTCTCTAGCAGCGTGGCTCCCTGGCTCAGCGCTCCGCCCCTCACAATTAGTGCACGAGGAGGCTGGCCAGTCCTTCAACTCGTGCCAGCCTTTGCTTCTTGGGGCTTGGCTTAGTTCCGGTACCACATCCCCACGGCCTGTTTGCTTTCGAGTATCAGGGCCTGGTACCTTTCCCGAATTTTCATTGGTGTGCTGCTGCTTGGGCCTTCGAGTCACGGTTTTTCGATTATGGCACATGGTTTTTAACTGTGGACTGTGACTCCTGCATCTGGGACAGGACTCTTGCCTGTGGAATTGCCCTTTGCTCGTGGGATGTGACTTTCCAACATGACTTTTCATTATGAGACATGACCTTGCCCCTAGATGTGACTGTTTGCCGGGTGCCTGTTGGGCTTGACTGCTAAGGTACCCGACTGTGACTTTCTGAAACTGACCGACTTCGCCTTTCTTGGCCCAGGCCTCTGACCCTGAAACTCGAATTTGGGGTCTGAATCGTGGAAGGCTTTCACTGAAAGGTTCGGGGTGATTAATGGGTAGTTCACCGTTCGAAGGGAGTAGTTGACTCACATACAAATTGGCCTCATTGGCCACCTACGGAGACCGCATGGGTAGGTGGGAAATCGCATCGTAGGTAGAAATACGACCTGGGGTAGTCCAAGTAGTAAGATTCTGCCGGATGACCAGTAGGTGCGAGTCCATGCTTGTCTCACGGACTTGACCACCTAGCTGGCTGGTCATCTCTACGCAGTGTATATACATTGGGGTACTCCCATAGCCCCGTCATCAGGGTCCTCGGGCCTACCAGGGACCAGGAAAGGGCAGGCTATGAGATGGGTATAGGGGCTGGAGGGACTAGTAGAGAGGATGCTGATAAAGTATAGCCCAGATAGGACTTGTATTGAGCCTGTCTCCTGAGTAGCGGGTAGGATAGGTGGTTCGGGAGGGGGGTGTACTGTATATTAATAGGTGGTGCGGGAGGGAGGGAGGCTCTCTACGTCTGTCCGAGGGGGAATCGGCTAGGGATCTGCTAAGTCAATGGTTGGGAGCAACGCTGCTTAGAGTGAGCCCGCAATACATCCAGTTGGAGGTTGGACCTGTAGGGACAGAATCTGATTTCTGGTGGTAAGCTGGTGTGGAAGGGACACGACTTGCAATAGGATAGGGCTCTAAGCCCGTGGCGGACTCCGTCTAGGAAGGACCAGAAGGGCCAAGTGGGTCATTCCGAACTTCGAGTGACTGAACCCCGGAGAGTATCCCCACGCTTGATACCCTGCCTCTACAACAACCTGGGCATTAAAAAAAAAAAAGGAAAAAAGAAAAGAAAACTTAGAAAAGGAAAAAAAAAAAGATAAAGCTGATCAGCAGTGGAAACGGGGTGTGGTGGTGAGATAAGCGACAGGCAGAGGAAAACGCTGACATGGTGTACACGGTGCTGACGTGGCATTTGTGTTGGTGCTGAGTCTGCTGACGTGGACTTGCTGACATGGACGGCCGGCATGGACTGTTGATGTGGACCTTTGATGCCAATGATGTGTAATGCCAACGAGGACCGTCGATGTGCCACAGCTGATCTGGCAAGGACCTGAAGACCGGCCTGATCTGGATACTGGGCCGGTAGGCATCGACTATCGGTCGTTTGTGGCCCAAGTTGCAGCAGCGAGCACGAGGCTGAAGATCCCCGAGGGAGTGCTTCTACACTTGCCCACACCCGGGTACTTGCTGGATGTGTGTGTTGAGTCTGCGTCGTTGACGGTATTGAGTCTGTTAAGTCCGTTTGTTGAGTCCCTTGAGCTTGTTGTCTGCGTCCCATATCTGCCTGTGCAGACTGGCGAAGGAGGCAGCTGAAGAAGAAGTTGCAGCCTCATAAGAAAACCCCATGTGCACACCCAATCTGCAGACTGGCGAAGGAGGCTGCTGAAGAAGAAGTTGCAGCCTCAGAAGAAAAGAAGGGGGAGAGCAGTGCGGGAAAAGGAAAGGGGCCAGAGCAGCCTGCAGACACAGAAGTGGTTGAGGGCAATCCTCTGCAGGTGCCTGTAGTCGAATGGCTTAGGCTGCAGAACCTGACTGAGGATGTTATGTTTCCTGGCGCACAAGCAGTGGGGCTGGCCGGATGAGGTTGAGTGGTTGTAAACCTACCTAAGCCCTTGGATAGTTCGCTTTCCCACAGGCATCATGACCAGATCCTCTTCTGTGACAGTAACGTCTTCTCGCATCACGTGCATCTGATTGGCCTGCGGCATATTTGCATCAAATACTTCCATGGCTGTGTTGATAAGCCCTGGATGGGCTACCCACGTCCCATCATGACCTGCACGAACTTCCCGAAGTTTGTCGCCTCGAACTTTTGCAACAGCAGCTTCATTTGCAGCTGGATTGTCTTTGATCGGGATCTGGGCAGCCTGAAAAATCACCGCAGCAAGACAACATCACCAGATAGTTAAAGAAAAAAAGACGTAAAGAAGTGAAAAAATGACTGAAATGCCAAACAGTAGCAAAATGTGAAACCGGAAAAATAATATCCTTGAAAGAGGCCCCACAAAACAGAAGTCAACTCGCTGATTTTTTTTTGCCTCCGGTTCAAATAGTGCTTATTTGCCAGGCCACTAGCGGCTAAGAGAAAATACAGAATTGGGTTACCAAACTACCCAACCGTCGTGCAGATTTACACCAAGAATCTCTCCCACCTAAACATACAACTATGTGTGGGGTCAACCTTTCCCTGTGCACGGTGTGGAGCAGCACACACTGGACAGTACAACATGCTGACTGACTTGATGTGGTATCATGTGTATGTTGTTGGGCTTCTGCTGCTGCCGGCCAGCATGGTACCCCCCATCGAAATATTAACTATTGGTTTAACCCAGAAACAGTGAAAGGGCACTTGAAGGGTAGTTGATGGCATGTTCGCATGCATGCAGAAGCTTCATGTACCTGTAGAGACTGAAACATGGATGATCCTGTGGAATATATTCTGCTGGACAACATTTCTTTGGTGATCGTTTTGATGGCCGAAAAAAATTCAAAAAAAAGCAAATAGCTCATTTTAGCTGCCTAGAACTTTTGCATCAAATGCAGCTTCATGTTGCTCTTACCATGCATCTCAGCCATGTGTATAAGGACAAAAAACGCAATTTCTCCAATAGCTCGGTGTTGAGATCCGACATCAAAAGCCTTTCAAGGTGCATCTCACTTAGCCAGCCAGGACAAGAAAATACAATATCGTTTCTGCATTCACTGCTTGTTAAGGTTGCTGAAAAGTGCCCGCTGCAGCGCATGTGGCTGCATGCTACACATGTACAGTGATGTACTGACCATTACTAAACAGATCATGAACTCTATCCTTCCTCAGCTGATGAAGTAGTCGCATATGATAATAATGATGTTAAGAGTTACCCCCCCTCCTTCCAAAAGTTAAAAAGAAGTTGAGGGTCCCCCAAAATGTAGGATCTAAAACAAAAAGATTCGAGCACGAGTGTGGGCTCCACTTTGGAAAAGTGTCATACTTGCGAGCGGATGCTGTGCGGGCGATTGCCCATGTGCAGTGTGTGAACGCAGCGGACGCGTGCTGAGCATGAGGGAAATAGTCATTCAGAAAAAAAAAAGGGTCCCAGGCGTGGATCAGTGGTCACCTGCGCCCCCTTCGAAAACTTGATGTACAACGTACAATGGAAAAAAAAGAAAACAGAGAGAGCCAAGTTGTGAGAGTAATGTGGCCACCTGATCGTCAAGACTGTTGTCCTTAAGACCTATTTGAGGACATTTCTAATGCTCAATGGTACAGTAAGTTCAGTAAGGAAAATTTGTACGACTGCAATTGAACACAATATGTTCCTTAGGTAGTACACTCCTCTGCCCCTACAACAAGAGCCAAAAAAAAAAAAAAATTGTTCCTGGTACAGTGAAGGTGTTGCATACTTCGATGAGTATCGGCAGAACCAAAGATCAACCAATATAGGATGAGCATGTATGCAGCGGAAGTCTGATAAACGGACTGACTCACATAGCATCACTCCACACACATACAATCGTGAGATGGTGGGGTCTGGGCCATTCATAGACGATGCCCAGATCCCGTACACGCATTCACAGATGAAAGGTGGGAGGAGAGACGAAGGAGGTGGGGAGGTAGACAACACCGATAGATAGAGTCTGATAGGTCTCCGATATGGTAGTCCAAAATGTCGTACAACAAGATCAAAATGTCGAGGCCCATAGGTCACCAATGTTGGAGATACAGAGTCCAGATGTAACCGGTGTCCAACTGTGATGCAGCCGAGTATCAACCTCAACAATCTCCAAGTCTCCAATCAGGTAAGTACCAC